AGGAATTGGATATTCATTATCAATGTATAAATCTTTGGCTGATTTGGTGATTGGTTGACGAACTTGAACAACTCGTTGTTGACTCATTTTTTTTAAATATACTTTACAATATTACTATTAAATGTATAATACTACTTTTAATTAAGTTCAATACTTGTCTAAATGTTTTAAATTTTTCAGACATTTAAAATTTCTTCTTCGATTTTGTCTTTGTTTTAGTTTTTTTGAGATTCGGATAGTTTCAAAAGAGATAATCTTGGTGTTGAGGTTTTTCTTCAATTTTTAAAGTTTGCCTTAATTAAAATTTGTAAAGTTTTGAGAAATGATTGTTAAGACACCCTTGGTGAAATTTGGGTGAATGTAAAGCTAATACAGCTGTCCCCATCAGTCATATTCTCAATTTTTTAAATATTTCCGAAGGTGTGTTGACCGAGTGGTTATGGTGCTGGCTTCAGGTGCCAGTGGGTAAAACCGCGTGGGTTCAAATCCCACACACATCAGTTCAAATTTTTTATTTCCCTTCTTTTTTGCCAAGTTATCTATATTATTCAATGTTCTTTGTTGAATAATCATATAAATTGTTTCAAAATCATATTTTAGTAATTTCAAAATAGTTTTTCTTCGTCTAAGTCAATCTAGTCAATCTTCTTGAAAGAAAAGGGGGAAATAATTCTAAAAAAATGAATGAACCCAAACTTAATGAATACATCACCGTTCCGTTGGTTTTTATTTGCTTTTCTTCCTCTTCAGAATCATCATCACCATTAAATTATTATTTTCTTGAAAAGGAATTTAATGGAAAGAGAAATGATCATGTTTCGTATGCTATTTGCTTGAGAAAGAGATTATATTTTTGGGAAGATGAATTTGATCAGGGAATGATAATTAATATGAAAGTGCAATTGATAAAACTATTAACCATCCAGCAGCATGATTATGGAAAATTTGAAAAGTTTAATTTTGAGGAATTATCTAACATTGAAATGAAATTTGAAAGAGTTGATTTCAAATTTAGTAAGCCAATGTTTAATGAACATCCCAGCACTAATGGTGGAACCAGGAAGGAAATTGATTATTATTGTGGAGTTAGGGCATTTAGAATTACAATTGAATTGGATCAGAAGGATATTAGCAAGTCAATTGTGAAAATTCGTGAAATTAACTCTATATTTGAAATTGAATACAATCCATTTTGTGATATGAATCACTTTGTGGATGAACCATTTCTACAACATGACATGTGCATGAATTTAATTGTAGACGCTGATGATAAGACTCTTCTCATTGAACCCAATTTGTTGAGTGAGAATTCGAAACAAAGATTAATTGGAAATCCTGTTAAAATTCCTCCAATGCCATTCGATTCCTTACTTCTCCATGCAACAATTCTCTCAAGATTGGATGAATCCAACGAAAAAGTTCTAATGATTCACTATCGTGATACTGCTAAAAAGTATCGTCATCTTGTGAGAAGAATTTCATTTGAAGATAATAATGGGAAACTTGTTGGAAAATTGGGAAAGTGTGAATTGCATAATTATTTCAAATATTTCAATGAAAAAGTGAGAATTATTTCACATTGTAGAGTCAGTGAAACGTGCTACCTTTACAAAATTGTTTCAAATCATGATTGTGATACACAATTACATTTCAAATCGGTTAAAGAATTTTCAAAGCATACTCAATGGATATTAATTGATCTGGAAAGCCGTAT